GACCAGTCCGAGTCCGTGCGACCGTCCCCGCCCAAGCCGCACCGGCCCAAGCGGGGAGGCAAGAGGCGACAGATGTCGGTGAGCAGCTCCGAGGAAGAGGGCGTGTCCACGCCGGAGTACACCAGCTGTGAGGACGTGGAGCTGGAGAGCGAGAGCGTGAGCGAGAAAGGTGAGCGCGGCTCAGAGGTGAAGATGCGCGCGGATGCCTGCCGCGGAGATGCTAGGCTGGGGAACCTCTGTGCCTTGCGCACCTGCGCCGGAGAGATGTTCGGGGATGCCTGAGAAGCTGCGCTCCTAGGTCTCTAGGTATAGGATGTTCGCACATGCGCCTCCACCCCAGATAAGTCTGTGAGCATTGCTTAGAGGAGCATGCCCCAGGGTGGATGCTTGTTTAATGGCTTTTAGAGGTGCTGAGGTCACAGATGCAGGTGAAGACGGTGTTTGTGTTCCAAACTTAAGACATGGAAACTTAGAGCAGTCTCGGGTAGAGAGAGATGCAGGCAGTGAAAGACTGTACTTTTTTGTGTGTGCATTTACTAAAACCCTACTGCCAGCTCCAGTTTTGAGTGAGGAGAGTTGCTTACTGATTTTTCTTCCTGTTATTCAGGGACCTAAAAGTGCACTCTTAACGTTTGAAGTTATTACTTGGGGATGCATTTGTTTATGAGGGATAACTTGGTTTCTAGAAAACTGAACAGTGTGTATAAACAAGTGTTTATCCTGCAAAAAACAACAAAAAGTTCATTTGTGCCTATTCTATCCCCAATGGTAACATTTTCCGATTTCAAATAGGTCCTTCTCAAAATTTGTGAGTAGATTCTAAATGATATCATTTGAGGTCTTACATATTAAGTAGCTTAGTAATTTCAAGGCATGAAATTCACATCCCAAGGTAACTGAGACAGTATTATAGGCCTTTCTCTCTAAATTGGTATCTTACAGTCATATAACCATGTATAACTATTTAGGCTTAAATTAACTGAAGTTAAATAAACGTATAACAGTTCTGTTCCTTAATCTCACCAGCCACATTTCAAGTGCTCAAAAAAAATCTATTAAAAAGTGCTAGTCTAGGAAATGCTTCAATTTAAAATTAAAATTTCATGCCTCACTTGGAGGATATTTGCATTTTGACGCTGTTCATTCAGATAAAGCTGACTGCAATTCTAACTTTGGTGGTGACCACCTCCTCTCTGGTAGTGCTGGGGTTCCTGTGTGTTTATTATATACTTGTATTTTGGTAGAGCTATTCTTCTAGGTATCCCCTCCCTTAATTTACAACTTTTATATTATATTCTAAACATGATCGATTTTATTTGAAAAATAAGCTTGTTTATTTTTTTATTGTCAAGCTACAAACTACTTGTGCCTGGGTCCTCTCCCTTCCTGGTGCTTCTTAGTGCCCACACAATGTGGAGTGTCATACAGGAACAGTTGATACATTTCATTCTATCAATCGTGTTGCTGCCAACCAACTTGAAATAGTTGTCTTTGGAATTCATATGCATCTTAGAGGTTTTTGTCTCTCAGCTTTCATTCATATGACATCTCTTTGTAAGCTGTGAAAGAACCCCCGAGAGCTCAGGCCCCAAGGATCTCAGCCCAGGACCTCAGTCACCACAATCACCAGGCAGAGTCAAAAGTTTGATTTAAACTGCACGAGGCTTTATTATAGTTGTTTAATGAGCTAACCCCAGGTTAGCTTGGGTCTTTCATCCACCCGCCATGGCGGATGGCTAGGAAAGACAGCTCTAAGCGTCTGCATAGAGATCTTATAGGGCAGCATAAGGGGAGTGTCTAGGGGTATGCACAGGCTCAGGATTGGTGTGGCTCCAGGCTTGGAGGGTTTGCCCTGTGTTGATTGGTCAACTGGTTGTTATGACCCATAGACCCTCCCAAGGTGGTTGCTATGCTCTTCGAGTCATTGCTGTGCACTTGTTCATGCATACCAAGAGCATAGCACCACCAGCTAACTTCTGATTAGTTCCTTTCCACGAGGCAGGCACCTAACCTCCTAGTGACCAAGGCAAGGTCAGCCAAGCACTTGTTCAGCTGTTATGCTGCTGAAATGGGGAGCTGGTCCCTTCCGCTGAATACTGACTATAGGCTTTTCAGTCAACTAATGAATAGACTATAGCAATTGCCTTTATTTTCCCCTGAAGGAGTATAGTAGGGATTAACTACATAAACACATGTGTTGTAGTAGACATCTGTGGCATCAGTCTGCATTAACCTGACTTTGTGAGGCTTCTGGTGGGTTCAGTTTGTGCCTGAGATGGGGAGTGAGGGTTGAGAAACAGCAGGTCAAGATGCTAAGGAAAAGACAGAGACACAGAATAGAATTAGGAGGGCAATCCAGTGAATTCTGAATACACCAAGTTTATTCTTCAAGGTTCTAATTTACCCAAACCAAAAAGGGGAAGACTTCTTTATCATGATACAAGGAAGAAACAGACTTTCTTCCTTAATTCTCCAAACATTTGGTAACCACAACTTAGACTGAATCTCTCAGTATCTGGCCTGGAAGGTTAAGAGTAACCACACCTCAGACCAAGTCTCTTGTTATTTAGATAAGACATCCACGACCAAGGTCAAACATCCTACAGTAGCCACACCTTAGACCTTTAGGTCTTATGACTTTAACCTTGGAAGATTAAGGATAGTTTTGAACTCTCTGACCCTAAGCCATGATGAAGCAGAGCCATCTCTGTGGGCCCTGACTATGTGTTTGACTGGTGTGTGGATAACTACTTATGGAGGAGTAGACAGGTGTAATTTCCTTAAAGGAAAGAATCAGATATTAATCGGTATATGCTACATATCAGGATGGGTGTAGAGTCTGGTAATCATCCCCACATTACTTACAGTAGCAAGGGATGATCTAAGGAAACCTGACCAGATACATGGACAACCATCCAGGGGGAGCAGAAAGGATATGTGATAGATAGGGTTTTAGTTTGGGGGGGTGTGGTAGGGGAGTACGGAGGGAAAAGTGAACTTGGATTGTCATATAAAACAATCTTGTTTCTAATTCAAATAAACAAACCTGCAAAAAATACATCACATCTCAATAATAATGTTGAATTACAAATCTATCAGAATATATGCATATATGCAGGGCTTTGTGTGATGTGTGGAGTTTGTAAATGCTAACACATCCCACAATTACCTAATGGCTGTTTCAGCATCCATGTCAGTCCAATGTACCCTCTGACACTGCCCAAATTACTTAACCTTCATGTGTCTTCATTTTCTAACTGGCATGAGTATCTAGCTTGTAAGGTTGTTGAATGAAAGATGATGCAGATGTATCAAAACCAGATGTTAAATTAGCATTCTTCCTGTCTTGATTTTTCCTGTGGTGTCAGCCCTATAGACATCTATGTCAGTTTTTGTTACAGTGACAAATACCTGAGATAAGCAATTTGAAAGCTCAAAGATTAATTTTGTTTCTCAGTTTCAGAGACTTCTTCTATGGTTGGCTGGCTCAGTTGTTTGTGTCTGCAGTGGGCAGAGCATTATGGCTTAGGGAACAAGTCACAGAGGCTGCCCACCCCAGGGTGGCAGGAAACAGAACAATAGGAAGGGGCAGGACCAAGGGACATCTTCCTAGGGAATGTCTTCAGTGAATTTATTTCCTCCAACTAGAACCTACCTCTTGCAGCCCTATCCCAAAGGATACGATAGACTCTGATGACACCCTATGGAAGGCCTCACCATCCAGGGGGAGCAGAAAAGATATGTGATATATAGGGCTTTAGTTGGGGGGGGAGTAGAGGAGTACGGAGGGAGAAGGGAACTTGGATTGTCATGTAAAACAATCTTGTTTCTAATTCAAATAAACAAATCTGCAAAAAATATATCACATCTCAATAATAACGTTGAATTACAAATCTATCAGCATATAGGTTGGCAAAGGCAGATTCCTCATGATCCAAATCTGCCCCAAAGCTCTTTAACACTGTTGCATTTAGAATCAGACTTTCAACAAGTGAGCCTCAAATGGACGTGACAGTTCCTGTCTGTAATCTCAAACTATTCAAGAAGCTGAGGCAGGAGGATTGCCACAAATATGATGCTACCCTGGAATGCATAGTGAAAAACAAAAACACTTTCAAAGGCCCATGCCTTTTTGAGGGGTACACTCATAGCCAAACCATAACAGTATCTAAAGTTGTAGTGACTGTGACATAAATACTTGTGTTTGACATGCACAGAGAAGGAAAAACTTCCTATGTTATAGGCCCCCATGGGATAAGCAGGAGAAGGGCTTTCTGCAAAAAGGTTTCTTGGGCAACAATGGATGCCATGTTATGAATTCAGAGTTGGAGGAAGGTGACCACCATAGTATATGATCTAAAGAGACAGTGGGAGACACAGCTATAGTTGACTGTATCTAGGCCATTGTCTTGTCCCATTTGTAAATTTCACAATTAAGATAAGTATTTAACACAACACGTAGTGTGTTGTAACTACTTAATATTTTGCCATAATGATCCATTAACATTATGCTCACATTTACCCAAGCTCTGTTGCCTTATTAATTCCTAGCAAGTGTATAGTTAGCACAGTCTATGGATATACTAAAGTTAAAAATAGTGTGTATGTCCTTTTTCCTCACAGAGTTTATTTTTCTATTGAGAGCATGAGCTATGTTAGCTGTGGTGATACATGACTGTAGTCCTGGTACTTGGAGGTTGAGATTAAAGGATTTTGAGGTGAGATTAGCCTAGTCTATATAGAAACTCAGTTGGAGAAAATGATTTTCCGTTTCCCAGAAGGTATCAGTTGCAAATAGCTTCTTGTTTAGGTGTGGGACATTGTGTCTACTTTCCCCTTTGAATGCTGGGGTTTTGTCTGTTTGTCCATGCTGTCACAGTGTCTGTGAGCTCATATGTTCATCAACCCTGTTGTGTCTGGAAGATGCTCTTTCCTTGAAGTCATCCATCACCTGTGGCTCAGAATTTTTTATGCCCCTTCTTCATCATATTTCCCTGAGACTTGACTGTAGGGCTTTGATAAAGACATTCCATTTTGGTCTGAGTGCTCCAAAGTATCTAAGTGTTTATATGTTGGCAAGTAAAACAGCTTTATATCTCTTTTCTCATAGCTTATGGCTATTAACCATTAACTATTTCTACGTAGAAGAGAAAGGGCAAAGAGTAAGCT